CTCGGGGTAAACGATGCGGGGTTTCCTCCACTCGGGATCCCGGGTCCCCATTTCTAGGAGCGTTTCGGGGTTCGCATGCACTGCGAAGGAGCAGTCTGTCCGGGAAAGATTGGCCGAGGGCGCGCGGCTCCGGGTCCCCCGCGCGCTCCAACCCCACCTTCCCGCAGAGCTGCGGGGTGGGGGTCGTTCTTAAGATGGGGAGTCCCACGAGCAGAATCGCGGGGGTCGCTGGGCTGACCCCCTGTCCCCGCGTCTCGCTCGCGCTCCACATAGACACCGGCTCCCCGTTTGCCAAGCAGAGCATTGCGGGGTTCTTCCCCTCCAGGAGTTCCCACGATCTCTGACCCTGGGTCAGGATTGGGAAGAGTTGCGGGGTCCGCGCCTATGGAAGTTCCCCCCACATCCTAGCCCCTGCCCCTTGGCCTCTGAGAGGGGCGGTCGGCTCTACTGGAGCGGGTGGCACGGAGTGGGGGCCCTGGATTCCCAAGCCCGTTTATAAACCCGAGACTTTCGGGGTGCCTGATGCCCTCCTCCTTCTGCTGAGCTGCATTTATTAGATAAGGCGGTCTCTCGGGGATCCGTGGGCTGCCCGGCCTGGGTGGAGGGAGGGAGGTCTGCTGCGCTGAGCCCGGTGGCGGGCGGTTGGGACAGGCCGCGGTGGGCGCGGGTGATGCGCGCGGGCGCAGCGGGGCGCGGCGGCCTGGGGCGCATTTGGCGTCCCGGCCATTTTGAGCGCCTTGGACTTATTGGCGTTTAAAAGTCTGCAGCCCGCTACGAAATGTACTCATTTCCCTGCTCAGTGTGCCTGGAACCCCTCCGTACAGCATGTTTGCAATAAATGTATATCTTAAAGATAAAGTCTGCTGCCACTGCAATAAAGAAAGGTTTGCACGCGCTGGGGACGTGGGCAGGTTTGAAGTTTTGGTCTGCTTTTGTTTTTCATCGCTTGAACCAGCTGGCTAGTAATTTGGCCTCTTCACGGAGATAGTTCATGCCATGGTTATTCTAAAAAAATGATTTTTTTTTAAATAAAGAAGGCAGTGATGTGCGTTCTTTCCTGCTAAAAGCAGCTTCATCTTTTTGAGACGGGATCTATAGCATGAAAAGGTAACTGAAGGAATAGTTTGTTAGCCATGTTCAACTTGGGATCAGGACTGTGTGAATATCTTCCTTTGGGGGTGACTTTAGAGGGTGGGTAGAGCTGCACAGAGGCTTAAAGATTATATTCTTTGCACATGCATCGGTTTTTAAAAAGGTGTTTTTAAATCACATACGCATATTGGAAGGGCAGTAAAAAAAAATCAGTTTCTCCATTTCCTTCATAGGTTTCAGCCTGGATAATAGTAAGAAAAAAAATACACTGATGTCACATTAGAACTTGACACATTTAGAGTACTTAAAACAAACAGGAGGAACTTCTGACTTAAACTGGTAGATAAGAAATACTATGAACACAGGAGCTGGCTTATGTGTGTAATGTGAACCGTATTAACAGGATGGAATTTTCCACAAATTGTAATAAAATGTTTGGTCTAGAGTTAACATTAATTTTGAATAATCTTGATTTACTAAAGGGACAAACTTTGAAGAGACTGCTGAAATGAGAACAACTCAAGATTGTTTTTTCCTTGTGACACTGGAGGATTTCCCACAGACCCTAAGTTTTGTACTTGTGTTAGATGAACCCTTAAAAAGTCCACATTTAAAATAACATCGCTGGACACACACAGACACAAAACCCATAAAAATCCACACGATTACTTTTTAATCACCCTAAAATAGCCTGAAATTGATCTTGCACATAAAACAATTGATTTTTAACCAAATGCCCTCTTTTTGCTTAAATAAACTTTTCTAACCTTTCAATAATCAATGTTTTGAATTTATGGCAGAACTTGTGCGTTTTGTGTGTATATGAAGTTTGTGTGAGTCGGGGTATACTTTAGTGTTTGAACTTCTTTAAAAAACCTTATTTCTGGTCAAAGTCATTAATACTTTGTTTTAAAGCCTCTTGGTTAAACGCAGAAAAAAAGGTGTGTGTGTGTGTGTGTGTGTGTGTGTGTGTGTGTGTGTGTGTGTGCCAGTATGTCAGTTTGGGGGCTTGAACTCAGGGTCTACATGCTGTCCCTTACTTCGCTTTTTCTTTCGAGAATGATGATGCTCTACCACTTGAGCCACAGCTTCACTTCCATAGTCTTGAATAATTGCTTGAGTTTATTATTTGATTTTTTTTAGTTGAAGACCCCCTTTGCTTATGAAAGTAAAAATTATCTTCAGCCTAACCAGCTAGCTCTGGACTGCAGTTTTTCTAAAACATTATACAGTCCCATTTCTAATTTACCTAAGTCTCAGCTTTCAGCTTGTCTCTGAGTCTCTGAGGTACTGCAGACATTTTCCCTTTTCTCTTGAGCACTGATGGTCAATTTCAGTAGAAACTCCTTTTGTTACATCTAGTATTTTCTTTAAGCCTTTTTCCCCCTTCAACTTTTAACAATGTTATTTAAAAGAGGATAAAGTGAAGACTTTCTAATAAGTATGTCAAGTTTTTCCCCCTGTGTCCCAGTAGTGGCTTTCTATTCCTGACCAAAAGATCTATTTCTATTCCTGATCTTTCTATTCCTGACCAAAAGGTCTCCTCTCCCTTTCTCCTTGCCCCAGTCCCCTGATCTTCTCTATAGCCTTTCCTCTAACCTCTAGCCATCTGCTTCTCCACACCTCGATCCTTCCAGCTCTGGAATCCTGGGCTCTTGAGGGTTTCCCAAGCAGCCCTGTCTTTCCTGCAGATCTACTTCCAGATTCTTCTTTCCCTTTCTCCTACCTGTCAAAGTCCTCCTCAATACATACTCTTCAATGTTCTGTTTAAATCTTGCCTTGGCTGATTCTTACATATTAATGATAGTTCTCTTTTCCTTTCTTTTCTCTCTTTTCTTCTTCCTTTCTTTTTTGATCTCTTTCTCCTCCTCTCTTGATCTTCCTTTCATCCCTTCCTCCCTCCCTCCCTCTCTCTCCCCCTGTCTCTTTTCTTTCCTTCCTTCCCTTCCCTCCCTCCTCCCTCTTTCTCTCTTTCTCTTCTGCCTTCCTGCCTTCCTTCTTTCCTTCCTTCCCAGTCCTGAGACTTGAACTCAGGGTCTGGGCACTGTCCCTGAGCATCTTTTGCTAAGGCTAGCACTCTACCACTTGAGCCACACCACCACTTTTGGCTTTTTCTGTTTATGTGGTACTAAGGAATCAAACCCAGGGCTTCAGGCATGCTATAGAAGCACTTTACCACTAAGCCACATTCCCAGCCTAGCCTCTGTGATATTTCTTTTTTTTTTTTTTTGTCGGTCATGGGGCTTGAACTCTGGGCCTGGGTGCTGTCCCTCAGCTCTTCAGCTCAAGGTGAGCGCTCTACCACTTGAGCTATAGCGCCACTTCCGGTTTTCTGGTGGTTTATTGGAGATAGGAGTCTCACGGTCTCTCCTGCCCGGGCTGGCTTTGAACCGCGATCCTCAGATCTCAGCCTCCTGAGTAGCTAGGATTACAGGCGTGAGCCACCAGCGCCCGGCGCCTCTGTGATATTTCTGTCTGAACTTCTTCTCTAGGGTTTCATAATGCCTCTCCATTATTGTCTTGTAGTTGCATGCCTGCTTGCTTCCATTTTTCTCCTTTTGAGGCACAAGAACCTTGGACTGTAGTCTAATTTTGATGGCCCAGCTTCTTAGTACAGTGCCTTTGTATTTCTGTGTGGAATGATTGAATGAGTGATCCAATTCTGTCCTAATCCAACAGTACTCCCTTTCTATCACTTCTCTCTCCTCCCTTCTTTCCCCTCTTTTCCCGTGTGTGTGTGTGTGTGTGTGTGTGTGTGTGTGTGTGTGTTTGTGTGTGTGTCTGTGGGTCTGTGAGTCTGTGTCTGTCTTTGAGATAGGGCTCACTGTCTAACAGATCCTGGCCTGGATAATACTGTGTAGTCAGGCTGGTCTCAAACTCCAGATCCTCCTGCCTCGGGCTCCAAATGCTGGGTTTACAGGTGTGCACTACTACACTTAGTTTTAATATTGGGATTGAAAGCTCTCCCTTGGCTGATGCACAGTTTTCACAGATCCACCATGGTCCCCCTTCCTTCCTGGTGTACTGATAGGCTTGTTTGTTTAACAGGTACTTCTGGTTCTAAACCATTTTCTAGCTCTAGCTGCATAGCGTAATAACCTGGCCAAAATGGGCCACAGAAATGAGAGAACTGAGGATGCTCAGCCGTCATTCACCTGCAGAACTAGGGAAGCGTGGTGCCGGTGTGCTAGCAGAGTCGCTCAGGTGAGGTGCACGCAGTGCTGGGGGTGACTCCTTGTCCTGTGCTCCCAGGTGGCCCTGAGAAGGCAGCAGGCACAGGAGGAAGAACTGGGCATCAGCCACCCCATTCCACTGCCCAGCGCGGCCGAGCTGCTGGTCAAGAGAGAGAACAACGGTGGCAACCAGTGTCTCATGGGCGAGAGCAGCAGCAGCAGCTCCTCCCAGCCCGCGCCAGCCAGCGCCCCGGCCAGCGCCGCTTCAGGTAAGGGGCAGGGAGGGGGGGAGAGAGGGGGGGAGGGGAAGGGCGGGTAGCTTGGGGGAGGAAGAAGGGCTGTAGCCATAAAAGCTGCCTGAGATTCAAGGACCTTTCCCTTCCCTCCTTTCCCCTCCTCCCTCTTCCTCTCTGTCTCTCTCTTTTCTTCTCTCTCCCTCTCCTTCCCTCCCCTCCCCTCCCTGCCCCTCCCCTCCTCTCCTCTCCCTCATCACCTTCCTTCCTTCCTTCCTTGCTCCCTCCCTCCCTCCCTCCTTCCCTCCCTCCTTTCTCCCCATCTCCGGTTTATTGGGCCTTCAAGTCAGGGCCAGGGCACTAACCTTTAGCTTTTTCACTCAAGGCTGGTGCTCTGCCACTTGAGCCACAACTCAGCTTCTGGCTTTGTGCTGGTTCGTTGGTGATAAAGAGTTTCATGGACTTTTCTAGTCAGGCTGGCTTTGAACCAGGATCCTCAGATCACAGTTTTCTGAGTAGCCAGGATTCCAGGTGTACGTCACCAGTGCCCAGCTTCAAGGAGTTTCTTTAAGCATTATACTTCTGGAGGTTCGCTTTTGGATGCCGCCTTTGGAGAAAGCCGTGGCTTCTAATAGAGACAGTTAAGTGGAATTGCAGAACATCAGAAGGATTCACATTTCATCTCTGTCTTCCACTCCATTTTTGAGGTCCTCTTGGGTGGAGGCTTCCTAGAATTGGACATCTATTTTTCCAACAAGGTTTCTGTCTGGGAAGGGTGTGGGCAGGTCAAATCCTAGGAGTCAAAGGTGGAATGAGTTTGGGGAAGAATGGGAAGGGGTACCAGGCTGACTTGTGTTCTTTCTGGAGCTCATTGCTGTCAGAGGGGCTCATGTGTACACTGATTCACCTCCCTTCCTTCCCAAGTCACTCTGTAAGGTAGGCGGTGCTAAGTTTTAGCGGTGATGAAAAGTGATTGGCCAAGTGGAACTAGAAAGCCTGTGATTCGTCCATCTGCTTCCATCTTGCAAAAAAGACCTGGAGCTCCGTCCTCCAATGAGTTAGTCACAGTTGAAGTGCTTGGTGGCCACATAACAGCTGAGGGATGTCATGCTGAATGACACATTTCTATACACATTCTATAACACACTCTACCAGAGAAAGATCTGAGGGTCGTGGCAGTTAAATGCAGTAGTGCCCTCCCTCTTAGATACATTTTAAAAAGCCTAGTGAATACCTGACACTGAAGATAGTACTGAAGCCTATATAAATGTGTGTGTATGTTCTGCATTTTTGGGGGGGGGTCTGGTTGTGGGGCCTGAACTCTGGGCCTGGGCGCTGTCCCTCAGCTCTTCAGCTCAAGGCTAGCACTTCCAGCTTTTTTCTTTTTTGCTTATGTGGTGCTGAGGAATCGAACCCAGGGCCTCAAGCATGCAAGGCAAGCGCTCACCTAGCCCATGTTCTGCATTTTTATTTGAAATAAGTAAGATGTTCCTTAGAAATAAAACCATAGTTGCTGTCTACTGGTGTCTCAATGCTTGTAATCCTAGCTACCCAAGAGGCTGAGATCTGAGGATCTTGGTTTGAAGCCAGCTTAAGCATGAAAGTCTGTGAGACTCTTTATTTCCAATTAACTGCCAAAAAAATCAGAAGTGGCCTAGTGGCTCAAGTGGTAGAGTGCCAGCCTTGAGTGGAAAAGCTAAGGGACACCACCCAGATCCAGAGTTTAAGCCCCAGGATCAGTTAAAAAAGAAAGAAAGAAAAACAAAGGAAGAAGAAGAGAGGAGATTTTAAAAATCTCATGAGTCCTGGTTATTGTACAGAAGAAAGCAGGTAGGTGTGTATGTGTAGGTGTGTGTATGTGTGTATTTGTCTGTGTGTTGTTACTGGAGCTCTTCCTCTTAGGACGAAATCGCATCCAGATCAGCCCAGGGTAAATTGAAAACGTCCTAAGTTGAAATGCAATGAATGTAGCCTGTATGCTGACCATAAGAGCTAAGCCACACAGACAGCATGCAATGCTGGTGTTTTACCTTCCTAATCTGAGAGCTTAGCTCTCTGCTGGGGAAATGTCAAAAATTTATTAAACAAACTGGGAGCCAGTGGCTCATGCCTATAATTCTAGCTACTCAGGAGGCTGAGATCTGAGGCTCACAGTTCAAAGCCAGCACAGGCAGGAAAGTCCAGAAGCTGTTACCTTCAATAAACCACCAGAAAACAGGAAGTGGTACTGAGACTCAAAGTGGTAGAGCACTAGCTTTGAGCAAAAATGCTCAGGGATGGAGCCCAGGCCCCGAGTTCAAGCCCTATGACCAACAGAATTCATTCATTCAACATTAGGTTTTGACTGCAAGTTCTTTACATTTGTAGTGGCTTCTGTACCATGATAAAGTTAAAAATGAAAAGCTGAGCTGGTACTCTTCTTTTTTTTTTTCTTTCTCTTTTTTTGGCGCATTTGGTTGCTCACAGTATACACCTAGTATATAGTTTCCAAACTTGGCTCTTCACAAGACAAAAGAGGGAATGGCAGAACATGAGAAAAGGTCACTGAGAAGGATACAGAAGGAGTCTTGTGAAAGAGAGGGAGTGAAAGACAGGGTTCAGCTCAAGAAGAATGTAATCAGGTCCCTTGCTTGACTCAGGAGCGGACTGCCTTAGAGCCATACCTTTGAGCTAAAATCAATACCCTGAAGGGAAGAGACCGTTATTGTCCGTGTGTGTTATGCTCTTTTGCTTGGGTACAGGTGTTGAAGTGTGGCTCTGGGAGGCTCCACCTCATTTCCACAGAACGATGTTTCCCCAGCTCTGGGGGCCAGGAACACACATGATGGTACACAGATGGTGAATCTACTACAGACTTCCACCACACCTCTGGCTTGGGAGGGGTGACTTCCAAATTAGGTTGTGAGCCAGCAGGAAATGGAGATGACAGTAGAATAAAACTGCAAAAACACAGAAAAGGAGAGAGAAAGGAAAAAAGAGGGAAGTAGAGAGCCAGAAAGAGAAAACCAGACAGACTGACAGCCCTGAAATGAGGTCAACTCCCTTGCTTGCTGCAACACATACATAGCTTCTATTGCTATTTCGTTCAGAGTAACAGTCAACTTAGGTAGATGGTAAACATTGAGAGTGAACGCAAAATGTAATTCCTAGGAGAGACCTTGGTTTCCCCCCACCCCGCCCCCACCCCAAGCAGGCAATTCTCGTGATAGCTTTGGTGCTTGTAGATTGTCTCATTATCCTTTCTTCTTCTTCTTCCTCCTCCTCCTCTTCCTCCTCTTCCTCCTCCTCCTCTTCTTCTTCTTCTTTCCTTTTTTTTCTTTTCTTTTTTTTTTTGCCAGTCCTAGGGCTTGAACTCAGGGCCTGGGAGCTGTCCCTTAGCTTCTTTTGCTCAAGGCCTAGCGTTGTCTACCACTTGAGCCACACCACCACCACTTCCAGCTATTTCTCAGTAGTTTGTTGGAGAGAAGAATCTTACAGCCTGTCCTTCCCAGGCTGGCTTCGAACTGAGGTGGTCAAATCTCAGCCTTCTCAGTAGCTAGGATTACAGGTGTGAGCTACCAGGTTATTCTTCTTATATACATATATAATAGTTAACATCAGAAGGGTTTAATGCCCTCACTTGTTGCAATACGGTGTTTTGTTTTCATTTAGTATAACATGACATATTTTAGTGGTCTAAAATTCCATTGTACAGTTATAGAGGGGCTGGATTTGAAAGGATTTAGTGAAAAGCATACGTCATAGGAGTTGTCATGAGCTAGTCAGACCTTTCAATTGTTTCATCTGTGGCAATTACTAACCTTCTGCCTCCTGATACCTGCTGCCTCGAGTCTTTAGCATTTTCTCTGTGGGTAGCTGGGTAAAATTGAGTAGATTTGTATGTCCTTGACATTTCTTAGTTATCTCCTTTTGGCTCCGTAAAGTGCCAAGGGTGAGAAATGTGTAAGAATTACTGCCAAGATTATTGACTGAATTCTGGGACTTCAAAGGATATTGGATTTACCAAGCTGTGTGTCCTTTATTGGAGAGCCAAGGCCGGTAAGTGAGTTAATGGATGCTGAAGATGCTGTCTGCAGCCCTTAGTGAAAGACTGGTTAGATGGACCAAAAGACTGACCGGTAGTCCCTCACTGAGGCTGGAAGAGATTGCACTGGTGCGTGTCTTCTGAGTGAGGCTAATTGTGTGTGTGAGAGTTGAGTTTTAGCATTAACGTGTGCTTTATTATGTTTTTTTTTTTCAGAAGTTAACAGCTGTTTATTTTTAAATGGCAGGCATTCAACATCTGGGCTCCCTTTTTACTTTAAGTTTATATTTGACATGCCCTTCTCCCTTTTTATACGCCCCCATAGAATACCAGTCTTCCCAGTGCATTTGCTGTGGCATGCCTATAGTGTGTCTCCGTGTCTCCTCTGCATAAAAGCAGTGGATGAAGGGCTGCATTGTCGGCCAGTTCTGCAAGCGGGTTCTTTGTGAGAGCCTGAATGTTATCATGCCCTGGCCCTCCCTTCTGCAGCACCCTGGACTTCCATCCACACGCACACCCTCCCTCCCCCAGATCAGGCCACCTCCCTCCGTCTAGGACTTTCCCTTGCAGCTTCTGCCTCCCCTGAGACCCAGTGGCCAGGTTTTAGTCCCCTTCCCCTCAGGTTTGGGGCTACTGGTGGAGGGATCCCTTCTTCAAACATCTTTGCTTCAGTTGTTTCAATCCAGAGAAAGGAGCGGGGGTAAGGTGGTGGGGAACACAGGTCCCTGGGTGTCTTCGTTGCTTATTTAAGTACGTTATAAACAGGAGCTGTGCCGTTGGGAATGAAGTAGAGTCTATTGGAAGGGTTTACCACTAACAGAAACTGAATTTGTGTTTGCAGAAAAGTAGACGTTAGGCCGGGCACCAGTGGCTCATGTCTATAATCCTACCTACTCAAGAGGTTTTAGGGGGACTGAGGTTTGAAGCCAGCTTGAGGCAGAGAAGTCTACTAGACTCCCATCTCCAAAGTAACCAGCAAAAAATCAGGCTGGAGGTATGGCTCAAATGGTAG